TGGGGGAGTGCCACACTGGGGTACTTTAGTTCTAGAATAACACTATTAAGCCAAAGATGTGACGATGCAGGTTCTGACTGCAGGATTACAGATGATGATGATGATGATGATGATGATGTATGTGAATGTTTGTAAAACATTGAAGTTTAAAAAACATCAACAAAGATCTGTCCCTGGGCCTCAGGCTCAGATCCTGGAATCGTCTGTAAATATTTTACTCACATCTTGAACCAAAAGAAAATCTGTTTTTATTCTTTATTACAGTTTTTAACAACACTATAATTCTATATAAATAGAATCACAGAAAAATCACAAATTTACAAATAAATCTTCTCACAGTATTTAGTTTTTCTCAGTTTTCTTTAAACAGATGTGTTATAGTAACATAAAATACAGAACAAGTAAACAAAGCTTGAAGCACTCGGTGAGGAAGAAGAATGTGTTTAAAACAGRAAATTAAAGCGTTTTCCCTCTGTGCAAAAACTAATATTAGACAAAATCATACTGAGAATCATTTCTATAAAACAGGCTTTCTGTTTAAAATCTACAAGTTTCTGTCTGCAGTTGTTTTACAGAGAATGAATGAATGAATGAATGAATGAATGAATGAATGAATGAATGAATGAATGAATCCAGCAGCAGTTTATCCTCCCTGCAGAGCTTCCTGTTGAGATGTTTGAAGCGTCTCAAACAGAAACAGCTCTAAAGAACTAAAATCACATTTTAAACAGGAACATTTTTATTCTAAAAAGGTTTTTTTTACTGTTTTGTGTTTTTGTTAAAGTCTAAACGTCTCCTGGGTCTGGGTGTCAGTCCTGCAGTCTTTCCAAACCCWCTTCCTGTCCTCCTGCGTGGTGTGGAGAACTGCTCAGGAGTAGAACGTCAGCACGCTCTTGTGGTTCCCTCTGATGAGCAGGGTGGGAGGAAGGTCTTGGGTCAGAACGTCCAGCCAGGCCATGTAGAGGAAGTCAGAGATGGACTCTTTACGAGCGATGGGCATGCTCCTGCAGAGAGTCCACACAACCAACAGTGAATAACCTGAGCTCTGTCTTTAATCCTGCTGCTGCCCTGGGCTCAAACAGCTGCACACACTCACACTACGACCAGGTTGGCTGACTTGGAGTGTTCCTGCAGGAGCTCGTTCAGTCGGACCTGGAGGTTCGTCTGTAAAACAACAACAGGTTTCATCATCTCGCTGCCACGGCTCATCATGTAAATATACGTCTGTGACATCTGAGTGAAGCTGTAGAGAAGTGATGTCATCAGCAGCACCAGCTGCTGCAGGCTCAGTCTCAGTWCAGTTTGATTAAGGAGGAGGGTTTAGTGTAAATCACACGTCAAAGTGAAGTCCACAGGCCAAATGTGGCCCGCCACTGCATTTTATGTGGTCYACTTCAATGATCAGTTAATGTCATAAAATAAGTTGCTTTAAAATTGGTATTGACCATAAACTACATCTCCCATAATGCACGTCAATTATTTTACCCACAGAATGACAGAATCCCACCACTAGGTGGAGCTGCATCGGGTTCTAAAGTACCAGGCCCGATACTTGTGGCTGCAGCCCAGTTGTACTGGGATGTGGGAAGTTCACATTTACAGAATCACATTTACAGAATCACATTTACAGAATAACTTCCCACTGGGAACTCCCAGTGAAAGAGTGGGAAACTCCAAAATTCAAGATGGCAGCTCAACTCAACAGTGAGGAAAGCTCTCTTATTTTACTTTTAGTTGTATTTATGTTTAATTTATTTCACATTCAGGAGCGTTTTAACTAAATGTTGAATTTAAATGTTAAAAATATTAAATCCTAAATCTAAATGTTTAAATCTAAATGTAAAAGTTAAACCTTAAAGTTGGAAATTCACATTTAGGGATTTTGGAATGGAATGCAGCCTTTGCTGTTAGTGCTCGGCTCATGTTATGATGTCATCATCCTGAGACWACAGCAACCGCTAGCTCCAATGCAGTTAAAGATTCCCTACATGATATCAAACCTGCAGTTCTGTCTGGTGTCTGAGCTGCGCTTCAAACTGCTGGACCACAGGGAGACATTTTGAATTTAGATTTTAAATATTATCTTCAGCAGAGTTAGCAGAATTAGCAGAAGTTAGCATCAGATAACCAGGATGATGTCATCCTCCTGTGACAAACAGGCTGCTGCTAACTCAGCTGAAGATAATATTTACAATCTAAATTCAACTTGTTGCTAAAAACATTTAATTTTACACTTGGCCTCATACATACATATAGTACTGTTCAGTGTTAAACATGGTAAACACTGTTTCCATGCAGGAAACACCAGGTAGAGCTCAGTTAGTGTTTGATAGCGGAGCTCAGGAATGTGAAGAGAACCAACCAGTCTGGCTAATGAAAACCATGGTTCTGATGTGGCTCTCAGTGGAGGAGTGTGACATGCCTGATCCAGGTCAGAGGGTCTACCTTCACCTGATCCAGGTGAGAGGGTCTACCTTCACCTGATCCAGGTGAGAGGGTCTACCTTCACCTAATCCAAGTGAGAGAGTCTACCTTCTCCTGATCCAGGTGAGAGAGTCTACCTTCACCTAAACTAGGTGAGAGGGTCTACCTTCACCTGATCCAGGTGAGAGGGTCTACCTTCACCTGATCCAGGTGAGATGGTCTACCTTCACCTAATCCAGGTCAGAGGGTCTACCTTCTCCTCGAAGCTGCTCAGTTCTGTGTCGCTGATCTTCCAGGGGTTCTCCTTCTTCAAGGCTTCAGTCTGAAAACTGTCTTTAGAGCCTTCATGGAGGCGGAATGGCTCGATCATTTCGTCCAGCTTCTTCAAACTGAAGGAGASGAATGAAGACGAGCAGTTTAATAAGAGTTTTATTCTTCCAGCTGGTTAGTTGTTAGTTGGTTACCTTTCTGCTCGGGGTTTGATGTGAAGGTCATCGATGACGTTAATGTCGCTACACTTGATTCTGAATTTCTGGAGCAAAGACTTCATCCTGAAAACCCAAAGGGAYAATATTTCACGTTATCTGGGGTTTTATCTCTGGTGACGTTGAGTGAAAGCTGTAACTCACTCGTCTCTGTCCAGCTCGCTGCGTTCAGACTGGCCAGCAATGAAGATCCTGAGCTTACAGTCCTTCCACTTTTTCCTTGTGGTCAGGATGTAGGGCAGCAGCAGGGTGAGGCCTGAGGAGCACATGTAGGGTTTAGTGGCCAAGTTTTAAGACAGAGATAGAAGACAGGTCTGTCTGGATTAACCTTCTGAAGGGGTCAGTAGGTGCAGGGGTGCTGATTTTGTACAACCATAGTGAGAGAGAGCATAAATACCCACTAAGTTGTTTTGCAACTGAATCTCAAGATGAGATATTTGCAATCCACCAGTGTGTGGCATCTCTCAAAGACCTTTGTTGTACATAGAAGGAAATATCCATCCTAACAGATTGACAGACTGTAGACAGGCACGGGAACTGATAAATGACCCAAATCTAAGGTTTGGGAAAGTTTTTATTGCCCTGACAAGGAAAACACTTAAGTACACAAGTTGGAGTCCCAACTGGACACAATCTGCTCAACCACCACAAAATGGTGATGGGACTCCATGACAATGGTATGTGTGATGCCTGTGGCGTTGAACTACAGACTTCTTTGCACTTCTTAGGCCACTGCCTGGCTCTGAACAGTCAAAGTTAAGGAATTCTTACAGACACCTTTATGGATCCTGAAAAGCTCATAACATTGAGTGTTTCTAACTTTGCATCCTTTAACCGAGGGACGAGAAGGTTTGAAAAAAGATCAGAGACTTTTGGGGCGAGCAATGGGCCCACTTAGGAGGCCCATCATCACCCCTGAGCTGTATGTATATTTCTGAGCCTACCTCCATCATCAAACAGCCACCAAACATCGATGGTGCCTTTAGGCTGCTTCTTCTTGAACTGACTGCTGGCCTCCATCAGCCTCTCGTTCAGCCTAGCCATCTGCGGGGGTGGGGGGCCGTTCATGGACACTGAGGGACACAGAGACAGAGACAGAGTTAGACCTGAGGGACAGACACCAGGGCCTGGAACAGACCCCAAAACTACTCAGGTCCAATTAAGATGTAGATGATCCACTAACGAGTGTCCCCGTCCTGCAGAGACACTGTGGTGAGACAGACACAGAGATAGGAACAGGTACAGAGACGGGGACAGGGTTAAACCTGAGGGATGGACATCAGGAACTGGAACAGACCCCAAAACTCCTCAAGTAAATTAGGATGTAGATGATCCAGTAACGAGTGTCCCTGTCCTGCAGGGACACTGTGGTGAGACAGAGACAGAGACAGGGACAGGGACAGGCCATCAGAGGAGTCAGATGCTTTTTGCTCTCTCTCCTGAACCTGTCCCTCCTTTCCTGCTTCACAGCTTTTTCAAGCCTTTCTTCTACCTATCATCTGAAAGCAAAAGGATTTATGGATCTGGTCAACTGGTCTCTGAAGGTAATCAACACTAATTTTTCCACACTGAGGTTGGAGTGAGGGGAACGTAGCTGTCCCAGTGGAATGGGTGCTGCTGTTTGGGTCAGTGATTCTTGGGGCTGGAACCTGATCTGTTTGGCACTGCTTTCCATTGAAGACGTGGAAGATTTGTATATATTTGGATTTATGATAGTTGGACTTGTGCTGATTGGCGGAGGCGGATTTCTGGCTTATCGGAAAATGAAAGCAATCCTGACAGCAGTCCGGGCCTGTGAGAARCTGTCAGAAACCTTGGATAGAATCTCCCGTACTGGAAACGCACAGACTCAGATGTTGGGGGAGTTAAGTCACAAACTGGATGTGATTCTGACGAGAATCAAAGCTCAGCAGTGTGCCCATGAGGAGTAGGATTACACCTGGGTGAAGTTTCAGATGGAAAGAGGCGCGGAGGTGATGAAATATGGAACATTCAGCATTTTTTTGCCATAGAGATGCAGTTAAGACTGTAAAGCGGCAAGAAATTCGAGGCCGCTTGTCCCAAAACAATTGTGTTYATCTTTTGGATCCCAGAAACTGCTAACCTTGGTCGGTCGGCAGGTATCAAAACTTCCCTGGAAGGATATGTCAACAAAGGCTTGATTCCCCCCTCTCCCTCTCCCCGCATCATCAGAGTGGGACCAGTCTGAAGGCTGTGGTGGTGGTGAGGGAGGAGGGGGAAACTCTGAACTCTTGTAAACTGAGCTTGGGAAGGAAAAATCTGGTTTCTGGACTCTGACAGGTCTTGGATTGGTCCAGCATGGAGTATTAACCTAAAACGTCACTGGTTCCACTGAATCCCGCCCCCATACCATGTGTTTGATCCCCAGCCCCCTCCCCTCCTTAGCCGTCTTGCTCTTGCGAGTCATTTTTTGTGCATATGATTCTGTGTTTATGAGTAAATGTAGGATCAGAACAAAATTTTAAACTCACCTATCCCATTGTGTGTTTTATTTTGCCAGCTGCTAAAGGTAGCGCGACCATGTTGCACAAGACCTGTGCATCCGTTTCCCCATGTTTGTCATGTGTGTCTTTCTTCGAACGGGTGTTTTTAACTGCAATTTTGTTCTGCATTGCATCTTTGATGTTGTGTGTGAATGACAATAAAGCTGATTCTGATTCTGACAGGTACAGAGACAGAGACAGGTACAGAGACAAAGACAGGTACAGAGACAGGGACAGATACAGAGACAGACATGGACACAGGTACAGAGACAGACAGGTACAGAGACAGAGACAGGGACAGAGACAGACATGGACACAGGTACAGAGACAGGGACAGACAGTTTAAACTCCATCAGCTGATCTGCAGGTCTTACCTCTGGTCGTGAGGACTTGTTGAGATGAGTTCCTGGACTTCCTGAAGAGGCCCTTTGTTTTCCCTCCATTGGCGATCATCTCGTTCTCCTTCTGCTCCTTCGCCGCCTTCAGCATTTCCTCTGAAACACAACCAGCTGAGCAGTCAGAGGCTGCGCTCGTCCAGCAGTCAGAGTGATGAGAACTAAATTAAAATTTGGACTGATTGTTTCTACATTGTCCTGTCCTTCATTCACCAACACATCACAGAGATTATGTTGCTTCTGATGTCTCACTCTGAATGAGTGTTTAGAAACATTTTGTTTATATTATTGAATAAACAACAGCTGCTGTCCTCGTGTGGAGGGACACCTGAAACGGACCTTCTGCCTGGACCAGATGGGACATGTCCAGTCCCTGGTTCATCCTCAGCATCACCATCCCGTACTCGAAGTCAAAGGCGTCACTGCGACAGAGAGAAGCACGAAACCTCAGAGCGGTTCTATCAAACAGCTTCCAGGTTTGTCTGAGACTTACTGCAGGACTCCCACATAACTCTGCACCTCCTCTGCTCCCGCCGTCCTCCAGTTCTTCTTGAAGCCCACCATCAACGTGTTGGGCTTCATACGGCCGAGACCAGAGGCCTGAGGGCAAGAGACAAACCTGAATGAGCCGAGAACCTCCAGAACAGGAAGTCTGGGACAGAACTGTTCAGGGACCAGTTTGTTAAGCAGTCCAGTTTTATTATGTTCTTATCTCAGAGAATGATTGAGTCATAAAAATGTTTTCCTCCTCGTTAACGCTCTCCTCGTTAACTCTCTCCTCGTTAACTCTCTCCTTGTTAACTCTCTCCTGTCTGCTACCACATCAGACCCAGGTCCTGACAGAGTCCATCAGAACAGGTCATCCATAAGACCAGCTTCTGATAAGAGCTGCAGGTTAAATTTTAATCAAGTCAAAACTTTACTATTGTTTTTATCTTTTTTACAAGATTTAATTAAACTACAGAGTCTGACCGCCGAATGACAGCTGAAGTTTGATGAACAAGATAAAACTGAGCCTTTAAACTTCAACGTAGAAGAATGTTAGTTAAAACTGGCAGAATGTTTGCTTAAAGTAGCAGAATAGTAGCTAACATTAGCAGAATACTAGCTAAAGTAGGAGAATGGTTAGTAAAAGTRGCAGAATGGTAGCTAAAACTAGCAGAATGTTATCTGAAACGAACAAAATTGTAGCTAAAACTAGCCGAATAGTAGCTAAAGTAACAAAATGGTAGCTAAAACTAGCAGAATGTTAGCTTGAAGTAGCAGCATGGTAGCTAAAACTAGCAGAATCGTATCTTAAACTAGCAGAATGTTAGCTTAAACTAGAAAATTATTTTTAAAAGTAGCAGAATGGTAGCAAAAGTAGCCGAATGCTAGCTAAAGTAGAAGCATGGTAGCTAAARCTAACAGAATGTTAGCTAAAATGACCAGAATGTTAGATAAAACCAGCAAAATAGTAGCAAAAGTAGCAGAATGTTAGCTTAAACTAGCAGAATGGTAGCTAAAACTAACAGCATTGTAGCTTAAACTATCAGAATAGCAGCTAAAGGATAATCAGAAGAAGAGTAGCTGGTGTGATGCTGACTCAGCGATCAGGCTCACCTGCATCAGGGTCTCACTTCCCTCTCTGAAGTCGTCACAGGCCACAGCAGCATAAAAGGCTTTACGTTTGGTTTTATTGAGCCACAGTTGGTTCCTCTCCATCCCAGCGTTCATCTCCAGGAGAGTCTCTGACCTCGGGCCCTGAGAGGGTCACAAAACAAGACTTTTTAAAGTCTGAAGTTTGATCTGTGATGTTCAGAAGAAGTGCCGATGTCAGCACTCTGAGCAGTTTTAATGAGCAGCTCTTCACTATCAGACCAGGTTCAATAGAAGAAAGCAGATTTCTGAGAACAGTCGGATTATGACCTACAACAAAGACTTCACAGGTCAGGCAGAGTCCATAGTTCTTGGTCATGGAGTGAGCCAAGTCCAGGAGAGCCGGTCTGGTCTTTGCTGACCCTGTTAGAGCCAAGATCTGTGGCCTGACAAACAAACAAAAACAAATAACTGCTACAGTTATGAAGAATAATTTTTAAAGAAAACAGGGCTTGATCCCAGAGCTGGTCTGGTCCTCACCAGGTTTTAAAGGTTCAAACCTGACCCGGTTCTTACCTGAAGTTCTTGACGTGGTCTTCAACACCAGCCAGAGACAGAGCGTTGCTGACTGCGCTCACGAAGGTCACGGCCTGCGTGGATGAGCCCCAGTTCACATCTGCAGGTGAACCCAAAGGTTAGACCCTCCCACAGGCAGGGACCACATTAGGACCACGTCAGGACCTTGTAAAGGAGCTTACCTGGTTTCTTCACGGTGACGTAGACGTAGAGCAGGATCTCGATCCCATATGTGAGCAGAGCAGCCCACCAATTGATGACGAACATGACCACACAGCAGAGCAGAGCCCCCAGTAGAGACAGCCACATGTTGTAATATTTATACGCTGGCCTCCAACCTGAGGACAGCAGCAGAGGACAGAACTGAAGACAGGACCACCAAGAGTCCACGAGTCCTGAAAACCACTCTAAAGACCTGGATTACTGTCAGACGGTGGTTTTACTAGATTCAGAGTCTGCAGGTTTCACAGACGGCTGTCAGAAACTCACCTGGAGACCTGGCGTAGGATGCATGGAAGCAGGAGAAGTTGATGAGGGCGTATGATGCCAGGAAGAAGTTGGAGATGATTGGAGCGATGGTGTTCAGGTTACCTTCAAAGAGCAAGACCAAAGATTTAATCAGAGACAAGTCTTCATCTGACACAGCTGCCGGATCAACCAGGGACCTTTTAGGTAGAGTTTGCATGTTCTCTCTGTGCATGTGTGGGTTTTCTCCTGTTTCCCCCCACAGACCAGAAACATGACTGTTAGGTGTTAACTCTAAACTGTCCCTAGATGAGAGAGGAATGGTTGTTTGTCTCTATGTGTCCCCGTGATGGACTGGAGACCTGTCCAGGTGTCCCTGTGATGGACTGGAGACCTGTCCAGGTGTCCCAGTGATGGACTGGAGACCTGTCCAGGTGTCCCCGTGATGGACTGGAGACCTGTCCAGGTGTCCCCGTGATGGACTGGGGACCTGTCCAGGTGTCCCTGTGATGGACTGGAGACCTGTCCAGGTGTCCCTGTGATGGACTGGGGACCTGTTCAGGTGTCCCTGTGATGGACTGGGGACCTGTCCAGGTGTCCTTATGATGGACTGGAGACCTATCCAGGTGTCCCTGTGATGGACTGGAGACCTGTCCAGGTGTCCCTGTGATGGACTGGGAACCTGTCCAGGTGTCCCTGTGAAGGACTGGAGACCTGTCCAGGTGTCCCTGTGATGGACTGGGGACCTGTCCAGGTGTCTCTGTGATGGACTGGAGACTGGTGACCCTGAAAGGAAGAAATGGGTAAAGATGATTGATGTTCATGAAGAACAGAGACTGAGATCTACAGACGGATCGGTGCAGGTTCTGCAGGATTGTGGACTCTGTTCTGGTTTGTCTACGTTCCTGTTCTCACCTATGCTTTGAACTCTGGGTGGTGCCAAACAGACCTCAGATCCTGGACATCCAAATCCAGTTTTCTCTGCAGGGTAGCTGGACTCTCTTAGAGACAGGCTGAGAGGTTCAGTTCTCCAGAAGAGACTCAGAGTAGATCTGCTGCTCCACATCCAGAGGAACCAGCTGAAGAGGTTCATCTGGTCAGTATGGACCCTGGATGTCTCCAGAGGGAGGAGTTCTGGAAATGTCCAACTGGTAGGACACCCTGGAGAGACTTTTAGTATTTCTCAATTCATGGTGTGCAGCCAATGTTGGCCGCATTTGTCACTGGGGACACCTTGGAGTCCTCCCAGAAGATGTGGAAGAGGAAAGAGAGGTCTGCACCTGCTGTTCCTCTGACCCGGTTCCAAACCAAGCCTCAGATAATGGATGGATTTTGGTTTTAGGGACAGTCCRTGTTTGTTAATCAGAGCTGAACTCACCAATGAGGATGAAGGCCACAGAAATGATGAAGGTCAGGATGTAACCTCGGATCGGCTCATTGTTCTTGCCGTGTCCTTTGGCGAAGAAGTAGAGAGCTTTATAAATGTTGTCTTTGCACAGAGCCTGAGGAAGAAACACCGATTGAATCAGAGGTGCAGCAGGTTTTACGTTTTCCTTCCACCCGGGTCACATAAACCCACTTGCCTGGAAGACTTTGGGGGCGCTCACGAGAGAGGCCAGAGCCGAGGAGAGAGTGGCTGAGAAGGTTCCTGCGATGATGAGAGGTCCAAAGCCGGACACCATGGTCATCACCTGGACCATACGGGATCAGAACCAAGCATTAAACATTCAAACTTTTAAAAACTTTTCTCTGCAGGTGAGTTTCATACCTGAAAGTTGTTCATCAGGCCAAATTTACAGGGTCCTGTTTCGCAGGACGTAAAGTTGTAACCAAGTTCACAGGCGGACACAGCAGAACCATTACAGGGAGAACCGGGAGTGACCAGGTCCGTTGTGTTTCCTGTGGCGTCTCGGACAGTGGTAGCAGCTGGACAGTTAAAGAAAGAAAAGATTTGTTGTGGGTGAACATCTGCCAGGAGAGGTTCTRTTGGTTTGAGCCAGAAAACTTTCTGGATGTTTCCTTACCGACACAAAGGGCCACTCCCAGGTAGGTGACCCCCGTGATCAGGATGGCCAATAGGGTACCTTTGGGGATGGCAGCCTGGGCRTCCTGTTGAATACCAAGGGTTAAACACAAACCCCCAGTCTGAACTGAGACCATACTGCTAGGTCACATTTTACCCGTAAGTCTCCGGAGATGTTGGCTCCGGCCAGGATTCCTGTCGCCGCGGGAAAGAAGATGGCAAACACCGAAAAAAAGGTTTCGCCGTCTCTAAAAGCTGGCGTGAAATTTTCCCTGAAGATGTTGGCTGTAAAAAAAATCAAACAATATTAATAAAGGCAGATAAATTAGAATATATTTAATGATGTTTGTATTAAATTTACTTTGATAACTGAAGAAGCCTTTAGATTTCTTATCTTCGGTTGCAGGAATAGCCGTTCCTACAAACACGTTCACTATGGCCACCAGCAGGATGACCAGCAGGACTATCTGGGCCTGTCAAAACAAAGAACAATCCAGATTAAGGTTCATGTTACACCCAATCAACAGAAAGCAGAACCTTCATTTCACCTTTGCTTCCCACTCCATTCCAGCAACAGAAATCCCCAGCAGCAGCACGACGGTGATGCAGCCGATGATCCTGATGTCGTTTATTTCGTCCACCATCAGCGAGGCGTGCTCCTGAGGACAGACAGGAAGTTAGGCTAAACGTACGGTAGCGTGCACAAATCTTCATCGATCACCTTCAGTCACACCTTCAATAAATCCACCACGGTCTCTGCAAACCCCACCACATACATGGCTACAGCCACGGCGTTGGCAAAGGCAAAAATGAGCCCAATGGACCCCCCGAATTCTGGTCCCAAACTGCGCGAGATCAGGTAGTAAGCCCCTCCTGAAAGAACATTAGGAACACAGTTTACATGCTTGTTAATGCTAACGCTAATTCTGCTAATGTTAAATATACTGATGCTAATGGTAATTCTCCAACTGCTAAATGTACTGATGCTAATGCTAATTGTGCTAATGATAAATATACTGATGCTAATGCTAATTTTCCTACTGCTAACTGTACTGATGCTAATGCTAATTCTGCTAATGCTAAATATACTGACGCTAATGCTAGTTCGGTTTGAATGGTGAAAATGTGCAGATGTTAATGCTAATTCTAATTCAGCTACTTTTAAATGTACTGATGCCAAAGCTAATTCTACTTTTAAATGTACTGATGCTAATGCTAATTCTGCTACTGTTCATGTTAATTTTAGTGATTCTGATTGAATATGCAAATCTTAGTTCAAGCTAGCATTCTACTCAATTTAGCTAGCCTTTTGATGCTTTCAGTTAGCCACTTAACTTTTAGATGTAACTTTTTAAACATTCAAGTTGTTTTTTTTTCTGCATAAATGTAAATTCTCTAGTTATAATGGACTTTTTATGGTACAAACTGTTTATAACAAACATAAATCACAAGAAGAAGAAGAACACTGGTGAAATAAAAGAAYGTGAAGTATAAGGTGAAAATTATTTTTAAGATAGTTTTGCAGAAATCAAAGTGAATGAAAATATTATTTGAAGTAATTGTGTCATTTTGCTCTGGAGTTTGAAAGTCTGGATTTAGAAAAATTAGATGGATTTAAGCCTGGATTAATCTGAGTAAACTGCTTTAAAATAATATTTACATTGAAAGTTTTTGCTCCTGTAATGATTGTAAAACGTAATGATCGTTCTGTAGACAGTTCCCATAGTAAAGTGTGTTTAAATGTTGGGTAATGTGCAGCAGAATCATGTTTTGTCAGAAATCTGTTAGAGTTCATCTGAAGGCTGATATCTGTGGTGGATGATTAATCCTCACATCACTGATAGATTGATTTTATGTCAGGCTGAGCTGTAAAAGGAGGAGTGAAGTATCCCGAGGTGATATTCAAGGTTCTACAAACTCTGTCCTGAAAGATTTTTCTGTCAGAGTGAATGTGACTCCATTATCTCCRTTATCTGACACCATCTTTTCATAAATAATCTTTCAGCGGCAGCAGGTCATAAACGAGATTCTGTGATGATAGTTCAGTCGATATGTGTGTTCATTATCCTGGCTGTAACTGTGGAGCTGTGACCCGAGACTGGATGTTCTGACCCACCTCCTCGGACCACTCCGTTGGTACAGATGGCCGACATGGAGAGGCCCGTGATGGTGGTGACCACACAGCTGAGAGCGATCACCACGATTCCCAGACCTGAAAACAAACATCAGTTACTGTCAGCATTTACAGCTTTGTTTCATCTGAACAGAAAGTCACATGACCTATTTTAGCTATGCAGGCCTTGAAACCTTCGGCTCATTGGCTGCTGTCATTTTGGTTTTACTAGCTTTAAGCAACTGATCTGCTTGTTACAGCTCTAAACAACCARTCTGCTCATTTTAGCTGGTGCCTATAGTCTTGATCATTTTAGCTTTCAGCTTCAGTTTTGTTGCTTTTAGCTACAGCTTTGTTGATTTTAGCTGCATTTTTGTATATTTTAGCTACAGTTTTGTTGCTTTCAGCTTCAGTTTTGTTTTGTTTTACCATTTTTTTTGCTTTCAGCTACTCTTTTATTGATTTTAGCCACAATTTTGTTGCTTTCAGCTACTGTTTTATTGATTTTAGCTACAATTTTGTTGCTTTCAGCTACTGTTTTATTGATTTTAGCTACAATTTTGTTGCTTTCAGCTACTGTTTTATTGATTTTAGCTACAATTTTGTTGCTTTCAGCTACTGTTTTATTGATTTTAGTTACAATTTTGTTGCTTTTAGCTACTATTTTGTTGTTTCAGCTTCAGTTTTGTTGCTTTTAGCTTCAGTTTTGTTGCTTTTAGCTACAGGTGTTACCTTTTAGCTACAGTTTTATTGATTTTAGCTTCAGTTTTGTTGATTTCAGCTTCAGTTTTGTTGATTTCAGCTTCAGTTTTGTTGCTTTTAGCTATAGCTGTGTTACCTTTAGCTACAGTTTAACTTCCTGGTAAAAGTTGCAGTATTTAAAGCCGATGTTTGGGATGCGTCTCGTTGGACTCACCCCAGCCGGCCTGACCGAAGACCCAGGACAGGCGGATGAACAACATGACCCCCCAGATGTTCAGCATACATCTCACCTGTGGACGATAAAGGAAGGGGTCAAAGGTCAAACCTGAAGCCCCTCCAGCAGGGTTTCCCAAAGTCAGGGTCCAGACCCCACTGTGGGTCATTGGAAAAACAAGGGCCACAGATAAACTAAATTATTTGTGCAAAATGATCATTATTGGCAGTACTTTACCAAAGAACAAATCCAGTTTCATAAATAATATTRTAAGTCTTAAATCTGGGCCTTTGTTTGGAACTGTGGTGGGCTACGATTGCCGACTTAAATCTGCATCATTTGGAGACCCGGACCTCTGCTACTGATCTACAGAGTCCTGTTCAGGGAGCCAAACTCACCAGAACTCCTCTGATCCAACCAAACTTGATGGCTCCTTTGTTTTCAGGAACAGCTGACTCCAGGTCGTCTGTGGGGGTCCCATTGCTGTCCTCCCCATCGTCATCCACCGTCTCAGGAACATCGATGGCTCCGTTCTTTGGGGAGAAATTCAAAAGAGGCTCAGAGGAGAAACTAGAACAGTTCTGGAATGACTGCAGGCTGAGCAGAAGAAACCAGAGCAGTTTGTCCCGTAGAGGACATCTGAGGTCCTGTCTTCTGTGAGACAACTAAGACTTTAGGAGGATGGTGAAAAGCTTCCTTCTTTTTCCACACGTCCATCTTTGGTGCCATAGTTTCATCTGTCTGATTGATCAAAGATTATTTCCTTCAGCTCCTGTTTKAGCAGATCTTAGTTTTATATTCACACATTCAGAAGCARCTCTTTAATCCACGCTGTAAACCTGACTGACCTTTGACCTCCTGTCTGTGGGAACGCTTGATAAAACCAATAAAAAGCTCTGAGGTKTTCTTCAAATAACTTCTTATCTGTGTTCTCCTTCAGTGTTACTGGTTCAGAGATAAAGAGATGAAATGGAAGCTCTGTGAGGTGTTTTAATAATTAAACTTTTCCTCCACTCACCTTCTGGAAGACGTCGTGCAGCTCCTGCAGGGACGGCCTCACGGCTCGCTGTCCGCTCACGCTGCCGGCGTTACGGTAAAAGTCAATGTTGGGTACCCGGTCTAAGGTGTCGTGACCGAAGGCGCTGATCACAGAGGGCCGGACATTCCGGTGGTCCTCGTTGGAGAAGTTTGTCTCCTGGTAGACCGGAGGGTCATCCAGGGTGGGATCATAACTGGAGTTAACGTGCCCGCCTCCATTAGACTTGATCCTCTCCATCACAGATGCAGCAAATGATTCTCAGCGTCAACAAAGTCAAATATCTGAGCACGTTTGAGCCTTTCAGACATCCAGGAGTTTTAGATCTGAGGTCTTTGTTGATCTATAGATCTGCTTCTGCTGAGCTCAGATTCTCACATATGAACTTGGTGTTTGTCCCATCAAACYTCTGCTTTTATATTCAGGGTCATTCATTGACTGACAGCTATTGGTCAGCACTTTGGATCAACCCTCAGAAACCCAAGGAAGGGGTCAGATATGCCCTCCATCCCAGGGGCACAAAGACATTGCTTAACCATTAACCAGGTCATAAATGGCAGAAGCAAGATAAAGGTGCTCATTGCCTGAGTTCTGGAGAATTTATTACTAAAATTATATTCTGAAGTGTACATGTTGTTCTGTAACTGAGTTTATAAGGAGTCTTTCCTCAGATCTACAGGTGAATCAACAGGAAACAAACGTGTGGAGGTTTCCATCAGAACAAAACACAAAGAACAAAGCAGGAAAAGTTTCAAGGTTTTATTGTGTTCATGATGCAAATGACCAGACCACAGAGGAAAATCTGCAAAATCACAAAGCCCAGACTCAGACTGAAATACTGCATCGATAAATGTTCTGTGATCATATTTGAATGAATTTGTTTGTGACAGCAGAACGTTAGCCAACACTGGAGCAAAGAACAGATTTATGAGGAAAATTAGAGTTAATGTAGGACCAGGAATTACAGGAACAAGCCCGAGGCACTCCACATGACTTCTAAAGAGCCGTTAAAGGAGCTCTTAACGAGTAAACTTCCTTATTACTGAAACACCTCAGTGATTTATGTTGGCAGTGAAAGGCTGGATAATAAGTTCAGATCTGACCTTGGCTGCGCTGCTCGCTGACAAAAGAAACATGTTTTTATCTGCAGACTGAAGAGAGGCCTGCAGCAGCACAGGACTCATCAGGGTCCAAACAAAGCTGCCACTTCTCTGCACATATTACACATTCTGCAGTCAGACATGCTGGAGGAAGAGAAATGTGTCCACAATGAACAAAGCACCTGCTAAAGTCCTCTCTAACCTTCAGCTTCTTAATCAGACCTCAGCAGGTGTTTGATTTTTACAGCTAATGAGGACATTAATCCTCTGCTCAGTGGCTCCAGCTCACTGTCAGATTTAAACCTTGTTTTCTTGTTAAACAAAGTCAGGACATGTCTCACGCTTCTCTGGACTTCTGGAAACACTGCATCTGTCCTGAAACACTGCATCTGTCCTGAAACACTGTATCTGTCCTGAAACACTGCATCTGTCCTGAAACACTGCATCTGTCCTGAAACACTGCATCTGTCCTGAAACACTACATCTGTCCTGAAAAACTACATCTGTCCTGAAACACTACATCTGTCCTGAAAAACTACATCTGTCCTGAAACACTGCATCTGTCCTGAAACACTGCATCTGTCCTGAAACACTGCATCTGTCCTGAAACACTACATCTGTCCTGAAAAACTAC